ATGGTCTTCCTGCTTCCAGCTCTACCTTCTGTTATTCATCATAGATTGTCTCCCCTTACTCATTCTAAGTGACTGCTTTCATCATGTTGTTTTCATGCTCAAATGCCTCAGTAACTCCCCATTGCCTGGCATTCACACCCCGCCTAATTCAGCTCTGATCTCACAATTCCTTAAAATAAATCTGTTATTCCAGAGAAGTTGGTCTTTTCATTGTTCTTCAAACATGACAAATTCATTTCTTTCTTCATTCTGGTGTTGGGCACTTTAGGTTTCGAGTGACAAAAATCCAACTCAAATCTGTTTAGGCAGAAGGGGAAATTTATGAGATTATACATGAGGGAGGCAGGGGTAGCTAGATTCTTGGCACAGATGGAACTAGGAACCAAAAATGCTTCTCGGATGGTCTTAGTCTTTGCCGCTACCTCGACATGAAAATTCGGACTTTATTGCTGAACTACTTCCATAGGAGAGGCGCTATCAGAGGAGACGAAGGAGGCGCTGTCAGAGGAGATGAAGTGAAACTCTATCGGTCTCCATGGTTTCAGGTTCAAAAATTCCAAGGAAGAGCTTTGATTGGCCCATTTTGTGTCAGCCGTTTGTCTCTGGTATGGTGGCAATGGCAAAGAGATTGGGCCCTGCCATTGGCCTACCTTAGTTTAGGATAAGCTCCACCCAAAATAATTTTGCCTAGGGAGGTAGAATCTGTAATGTGATTTTAACAGGGGCCAGGCACAGTGACTCACGCTTGTAATCCCAGCACTTTGGGAGGCTGAGGTAGGTGGATCACTTGAGGTTAGGAGTTCAAGACCAGCCCGGCCAACATGGTGAAACGTTGTCTCTACTAAAATTACAAAAACAGTCAGGCATGGTGGCATGTGCCTGCAATCCCAGCTACTCAGGAGGCTGAAGTGGGAGAATCACTTGAATCCTGGCAGGGGGCAGAGGTTGCAGTGAGCCAAGATCATGCCACTGCACTCCAGCCTGGGTGACAGAGTGAGACTTTATCTCAGAAAAAAAGGAAAAAAAAGGAATAGGGGTGTGGAGCAGAGCCCAGGAAAGGAGTCTATTCTGGTACTCTGGGCAGCCAAAATCATTGATGCTACCCTATGCTGTTTATAAGGTTGCAACCACCTGCTATGCTCATTCCCTTCCCTCCCTCCTATCTCAATCTGACCATCTACCTTATGGAATGAAAGGTCAAGGTTAGGGAGATAAATCTAACACTTAAGTGCCTATAAAATATGGATGTTATCTAAAGTAATCCCCACAGATGCCCTGTAAAAATGGGACTATTGTCCATATTTTACAGGTGAGCTTAGAAAAGCTATTTACCTTGATTAGGTCATTCAACCAGTAAGTGACTGAGCCAGGTTTAGAAACCAGCTCTGTTGGACTCTGTTCATAGTTTTGAGCATGTAGGAGGGATTTAGTTCTCTTGAACTATGCTAAAAAAGAAAATTCTAAAGTACCTGGATACCTTATTTATATAATCCAAAACACATGGTTGATTGAAAACATGAGACTACTCAATTTTCTCAATTTTACGTTTAGGTTACTTAAGAGCAGGCAGATAGGGTAGAAGGATAATTATCCAGTTGTATTTCCTTGGGAACAGGACTAGTTCTTATCATGTCTCACTCAACAAATATTTATTGACACCTTCCGTGTAAATCAGTTAATTGCCTCATACACCATTTTCTTTTTATATTTTATGTTTTTACACCATTTGCATTCATGCATATGGCTTCAGTTTCATTCAAACTGGTCATCTCACTATTTTCTTACTTTTTCTGGCCCATGGTCACGGGTGCCATTTCTTCTGCTTACAATACCTCCTTCCTTCCTTCCCTCTGCTGCAATAAGTTGTACTTGTTCTTTAAAGCTTGATTCAAACTATATTTCCTCTCTGACCTCAAATACCCCTCCCCACCCTGATCTACCTATCTCAATGATGTTCTCTTTTCTCTAAATACAGTATTGGGGAAATTACTTGGTTTTGGTTAGCCTCTCAAGCCAACATATAATTGCAAGCTTCTGGAGGGCTGGAATGGTGTCATGCTTTTCAGGATCCCCATAGCAACTACTGCAGTGCTAGGTGCCTAGCAGCTGTTGAATAAATGTTGTTTGTTAAGATAAGAAAAACTCATTTATTAATATTATTTAAATAAATGCAATGGATTTCTACAGACTACCTACAGTGCCTTTGTAAACACTAAAGAAGGTAGTATATGCTGGTAAGAATGTAGATTAGTTCAGCCAATGTGGAAAGCAGCCTGGCGATTTCTCAAACCACAGCTACTATTCAATCCAGCAATCTCACTATTGGGTATATACCCAAAGGAATATAAATTGTTTTGCCCTAAAGACACATGCATGCGTATGTTCATTGCAGCACTATTCACAACAGCAAAGACATGGAACCAACCTAAATGCCCATCAATAATGGACTGGATAAAGAAAATGTGGTTCATATACACCATGGAATACTATGCAGCCATAAAAAGAATGAGATCATGTCCTTTGCAGCAACATGAATGGAGCTGGAGGTCATTATCCTGAGAAAATTAACACAGGAATAGAAATTCAAATACCATATGTTCTTACTTATAAGTGGTAGCTAAACATTAAGTATACATGGACACAAAGAAGAGAATAACAGACACTGGGGCCTACTTGAGCATGGAGGGTGGGAGGAGGGTAAGGATAGAAAAACTACCTATCAAGTACTATGCTTATTACCTGGGTGATGAAATAATTTGTACACCAAGCCCCCGTAACACGCAATTTACTTATATAACAAACCTACACATGTACCCCTGAACCTAAGATAAAAGTTAAAAAAATTAAAAAGGTAGTGTAATGTAGTGTTAAGAATACAGACTATGCAGTTAAAGCAGAGTTTGAATTCCAGCTTATGTTTTAATTGGTGTAGAATTCTAGGTAAGCCTCAGTTCCTTCATTTGTGAAGTGGCTACAGAACTTTCTATTCATAGAGATTTCTGTCGTGAGAGTTGCCTGAGATGCACTTTATGAAGTGCTTAGCATACCTGATGCATTGTTGGGCACAGTAAGTGGTATGTAGGTATAGGGGAGATTACCCAAGCATCTGATCTCTAACTGAAGGAACACATTCCAGGCCAAGTATGGTGGCTCATGGTTGTAATCCCAGCAATTAGGGAGGCTGAGGTGGGCAGATCACTTGAGCTCAGGAGTTTGAGACCAGCCTGGGCAACATGGCAAAACCCTGTTTCTACAAAAAATACAAAAGTTAGCTGGGTGTGGTGGCATGTGCCTCTAGTCCCAGCTACTCAGTCGGCTGAGGCCGGAGAATCACTTGAGCTCAGTAGGTGGATGTCGTAGTGAGCCAAGATTGTGCCATTGCACTCCAACTTGGGCAATGGGAGTGAAACCCTGTTTCAAAATAGAAAAGAGTACATTCCAATTAAATTATTAGAAAAGGATAAGTTTTCAACCAAATTTGATATGTAGTTATTATATGTCATTACATTATAAGACATGCTGTTAATTTCCTTATTGACCCCTCGGTAGGCGGAATGGGAAAGGGAGGGTGACTCTGGTAGATTGGGTTGGTGGGCAGACTTCTCAGGAGGTGACACTTGCTTCTAGACTTGAGTAACAGAGAATCAGCCATGTGAAAATCTGGAAGAATAACATTCCAGAAAGAGGCAATTGCAAGTGAGAAGGCCCTGAGGGGGGAAGACAATGCTTGAGGCACAGAAAGAAGGCCACACCAGCTGGAGCTTAATGAATATGGGGAGGTCAGATTGCACCAGGCTTGTTAAACATTAGCAAAGAGTTGGAATTTTATTCCAATTTCAGTAAGAAGTCATTGGAAGGTTTTAGCAAAGGAGTCATCTGATAACCAGTGTTCAAGGCAGCCCCCAGTAATCTTTGCTTCCTATTATTCATACTTTCCCACATTGAGTAAGACTAACCTGTAATTAACGGACTATTGTGGAAATAGCAGCAAGTGACTTTGGAGGCTAGGCTGTAAAAGATGCCGGGCTTCTGTCTTGCTCTCTCTCATTCATTCACTCTGGAAGAAGACAGCTGCTGTGCCATGAAGACATTGAAGCAGCTTTAGAAGGGGTCTGTTTGGCAAGGAACTCAGGCCTCCTGCCAACAGTCATGTGAGTGAACCACCTTGGAAATGGATCTCCCTGCCTCATTTGAGCCTTCGAATGATTGTGGGTTCAGCCAACATTTTGACTGCAACCTCAGGAGAGACCTGAAATCAAAACCACCCAACTAAGCTGCTCAAGTTCCTGATCCTCAGAAACTATGTGAGATACTAAATTTTTTTTTGTCTTAAGCTGCTAAATTTTGGAGTAATTTGTTCTGCAGCAATAGATAATTCAAGTGGTATCACCTGATTTTGATTTTCTATCCTTGGACTGCTGGATGGACAAAGAACTTTCGAGGGGTAAAGAGTAGAAGCGAAGAGAGCATTGGCAAGGCTTGGTAGGTATTCAGATGAATCATGGCTGTGGTGTATTAGTCTGTTCTCATGCTGCTAATAAAAACATACTCGAGACTGGGTAATTTACAAAGAAAAAGAGGTTTAATGGACTCACAGTTCTACATGGCTGGGGAGGTCTCACAATCATGGCAGAAGGCAAAAGAGGAGCAAAGGCACGTCTTACATGATGGCAGAGAATAGAGCGTGTGCAGGGGAACTGCCCTTTATAAAAACATCAGATCTCATGAGACTTATTCACTATCATGAGAGCAACAGGGGAAAGACCTAACCCCATGATTCAATTACCATCCCTCCCACGACATGTGGGGATTATGGGAGCTACGATTCAAGATGAGATGTGGGTGTGGGCACAGCCAAACCATATCAGGGAGTATCTCCAGGGGTGGTGAGAAACAGTCAACTTTAGTGGCGCTGATGTGATCTGCTTGCTGATAGATTCACTGATGAGGCTTTGGGGTTCAAGGAACTAAGGTTGACTCCTTCTTTTTTGGTCTGAGCAACTTGGTGAATGGTGGTGCCATTTCTTGAAAGAAGTTATTCAGTTTGGAGAAAAAAAATCTAGACTCCATGAGGCACAAAATAAAGACTGTGTTGAATGAAAGAGAGTGAGACAGATTAACCAGAAGCAGTTTTTCTGTCACCTACAGAGTTACAAATAAGAACTGTCTATGTTTCAATAAAAACACCTTCAATAAGAACCTTGGAACTGGCTTCCTTCTTCTCAATTAAGTAGAAGACAATTAAATTAGAGTCCAGCTTCGAGGAGTTCATTATGCCTCATCGAAAATGATAAATGACTCTTGGTGACCTTGTCACCTTGCCAACATGGTCCCACCTCGTTTTTCAAAGAGCTAATGAAACCGATGGATTTCTCCCTCCTCAGTAGCAGGACCGATACAGAGCGCATACCATGAAATGTGAGGAAGCCGAGAAGGAGGCAGGAGAGAAAAGGGAAGAGAAAACCCACACTGGACATTTTGACAATTGGCCAAAGCAACTTTGAAGTGCAAGCTTGGGGAAAAAAAAAACATAAAAATTCACCTATCTACATATTGATTTACTCTCTGTTTCATTGTTTTCAACCACCTCTGCTTGTCAGACAACACTGAGGGTTGTGTGTGTGTGTGTGTGTGTGTGTGTGTGTTGAGAGGCACACACCTGCCCTTTTAAGTTGGAAAGAAATAAAGTGATAGAAACAAGGGAAGGAAAATGATAATAGGGAGTGCTTTGGTGTTGACAAAGACGTCCATTAGTACTTACTTTCTCTCTTGCTTTTTTTTTTTTTTTTTTGAGATAGAGTCTCGCTCTGTCGCCCAGGCTGGAGTGCAGTGGCCAAATCTCAGCTCACTGCAAGCTCCGCCTCCCAGGTTTACGCCATTCTCCTGCCTCAGCCTCCCGAGTAGCTGGGACTACAGGTGCCCGCCACCTCGCCTGGCTAGTTTTTTGTAATTTTTAGTGGAGACGGGGTTTCACCGTGTTAGCCAGGATGGTCTCGATCTCCTGACCTCGTGATCTGCCCGTCTCGGCCTCCCAAAGTGCTGGGATTACAGGCTTGAGTCACCGTGCCCGGCCAGTACTTCCTTTCTCTTAAAATTACCTTGAGCTAGAGCAAGAACTTGAATTATTCTCCCTGCTTCGCTGAGAAGGAGTAAAGCTGTCTTCAGAACCGGAGGTGGCCAGAGGAAGGGGTTAGGAGCAGGAGCTTTGGATCTGGGCTTGAGTTCTGGCTCTCTGACTATTCAGCTGTGTGGCCTTAAGAAAGTTACTTTACCAAGGCTGGGCGCAGTGGCTCACACCTGTAATCCCAGCACTTTGGGAGGCTGAGGCAGGTGGATCACAAGGTCAAGAGATCGAGACCATGGTGAAACCCCGTCTCTACTAAAAATACAAAAAAAATTAGCTCAGCACGGTGGCGGATGCCTGTAGTCCCAGCTACTCGGGAGACTGAGGCAGGAGAATGGCATGAGCCCGGGAGGCAGAGCTTGCAGTGAGCTGAGATGGTGCCTGCTGCACTCCAACCTGGTTAACAGAGCAAGACTCCATCTCAAAAAAAAAAAAAAAAAAAAAAAGTTACTTAACCTTTCTGAGCCTCTTCATCTACAAAATGGGAATTGGGAATAATCTTATTGCACAGGCTTGGTGTGAAGAGTGAGTGATATTATGCACATCAGACACTTAGCTACTGCCTATCATAGGACAAACACTCAGGAGGAGGCAATTGTCTTAGCTGTTGTTTTATTCCGACTCCCAAGTTAATATATATATATATATATGTATATATTTTTTTCATTGTGTTACTTCTTATATTCTGAGTGTTAAGGAACTCTGTTTAAAATACATTCTTTATTGGGAGGCTGCGGTGGGAGGATCACTTGAACCCAGGAGTTTGAGATGAGCCTCGGCAACATAGGGAGAACTCCCACCTCTCTTATCTACAAAAAATTTAAAAATCAGCCAAGCATCGTGGCATGAGCCTATGGTCCCAGTTACTAGAGACGCTGAGGCAGGAGGATCGTTTGAGCCCAGGAGGTCAAGGCTGCAGCAAGCCGTGATTGTGCCACTGCACTCCAGCCTGGGTGACAGGCAGAGACCCTGTCTCAAAAACAACAAAAAAAAACCCAATCAAAATACACACATGAGGCTGGGCGCGGTGGCTCACACCTGTAATCCCAGCACTTTGGGAGACCGAGGTGGGCAGATCACAAGGTCAGGAATTTGAGACCATCCTGACCAACCAACATGGTGAAACCTTGTGTCTACTAAAAATACAAAAATTAGCTGGGTGTGGTGGCACATGCCTGTGAACTCAGCTACTCAGGAGGTTGAGGCAGGAGAATCGCCAGAATCTGGGAGGCAAAGGTTGCAGTGAGCTGAGATCACGCCACTGCACTCCAGCCTGGGCAACAGAGTGAGACTCTGTCTAAAAACAAACAAACACACACCACACATGATTTAGGACAGGGTTTGGCAAACATTTCTGTAAAGGGCTAGGTAGTGTATATTTTAGTGTTTGCGAATCGTATGGCCTCTGTTGGAACTACTCATCTCTGCTGTTGCAGTGCAAAATCAGTTATAGACAATGCATAAATAAACATGCATGGCTACCTTTCAATAAAACTTCATTTACAAAAAAATAGTGGCAGCTGGATTTGGCCTCCCAACCCCTGATTTAGGAGACAGAGCTGGGTAACTATAATTTCAAGTGTCCTGAGTATAATTGCATTATTTGCATTGCTGACCTCCGTTTATATTGTATCTACAATTTTTCTAGTATTTTAAAGTATATCTTTCATTTATCTTCACAGAAACTGTGAAGTAGTAATAACAGCCACAGTTTATTGAGTGTGTATTATGTGCTAGACACTGTCCTAAGGGCCTGGCAGGCACCATGGAAGCCAGCAAAAGTTAACATGTGCTTAGGCTCTGGATCCAGATGATTGGGAGCTGAATCCTAGTTGGGTGACCTTGAGCAAGTCATTTAAACTCTCTCGGCCTCAGTTTCTCATATGTAAATGCCTTTACACTTGTAGAGCTCTTAGAAGCACATCTGCATATAATAAGTGTTCAAAAAATGTTAGCTAGCTCAATTAATCTTCACAATTACCTGAGAGAGAGTTACCATTATTTCCATTTTACAGATGAGAAAACTGAGGTATGAAAAGGGCGCCCATTTTCCAAGGTCATCAGGGTGCTGCTCATCAGGGGCCCAAATGAGATCTGTGTGACTCCAAAGCCTTTGTTCTATTAGAAACACACATTGCTTCCTCCCAAGGATGATCATCACCTTCATTCTGTGGAGGAGGAAACTGAGGATCAGAGAGAAAATGTGTTTGCCTGAGCCTTGAGGGCCAGTAAGCAAAAGAGCCAGGACTCCCTTTCTAATCTTTGATTCCTGGTCCAGCTCAGTGACCAAAACCCTGTGTCCTCTTTTAGAGATCATTAAAGCCAGCGTCTATGCTTTGAGAGGCCGAGGCAGGAGGATCACTGTAGGCCGGGAGTTCAAGGCCAGGCTGGGCAACATAGTGAGACACTGTCTCTACAACAACAACAACAACAAAATTAGCCAGGCACGGTGGCGCAAGCCTGTAGTCCCAGCTACTCAGGTCTCAGGAGGCTGAGGTGGGAAAATCATTTGAGCCTGGGAGTTCAAGGCTGCAATGAGCTATGGTTGCACTACTGCATTCCAGCCTCGGGGGGCAGAGTGAGACCTTGTCTCTTAAAAACAACGAAAACAAAACCAAACCAGAGTCTATCAGTGATTTCAGGAAGACGGTGAGCAGTGAAGGAGAGGTGGAAGAGGAGGATTTTAAGTATCTGCAGCTGAGAACTGACTTGCTGACAAGTCTGTGACTGACTGTCTCCAACCTGAGCTTGATGAAAGAAGGTGGTATTCCAATGACAATAATCATCAACAACAAGAACAAGTGTTTATTGGGTGTTTACTGTTCCAGGAACAGCACTAGATGATTTTCATGCATCATTTTATTTCTCACAGCAAGTCTACAAGCAAAGTCCTACAGGATCCTTACTCTAGATGTGAGAAACCCGAAGCTCTGAGAGATAACTACTTTGTCACCCGAAGTATCACACGGCAAGAATGTTGTAGAGCCAGGATTTGAGCCTGAATCAGTCAACTTCAAAACTTGTGCTCTGAAAACCTTCACCACTATTATGAGTTCTGTGCCATCCCCCAATGGCCACAGTCACAGAGGTTCAGCATCCTCGTTTTCCTTTCCTTTCTCTTTATTTTCTCTCTTAAGCCTCCCCTCTTACAGGGGGGAGTGTCTCATGAATCTAGGACATGTGTAAATTTGGTGAGTGCTCCCCAACCCCAACAGTGGAGGACTTGTCTATGATTCCTCTTCATACTCAGCACTTTATCTGCTTGCCTTCCATTGATTGAGCAAATGCAAAGTGTCTTCATTACCCAAACTTCCCAGCCTCACCACTATCCCATCCTTTGAACTAGTCCATGAGCTGAACCATTGGGGCCTGGGGTAGCACCCAACACCTATAAGGTAGCTCACTAAAATTAATTACATATGGAATGAATACCTTAGGAAGGGAATGTACATTCATTATCAGCGGCATGTCACTGCTGCTGGGGACTTATAATCTGTTAAGCCTCCCAACACTGCAGAGAGGAGGGGTTAACATCCTCATTTTTGAGGGTGGACAGCTGCCCAGAGCCACTCAACTGATAAGGAGCAAAGCCAGAATTTGAGGCCAGCCCTTCACAAGACCAGCTCTTTTCACAACATCACTTGGTGAAATGGTCGTTGTCTTGACAATAAGAGGCAGCAGACAGTGGGCTCTGGAGATGGCTGAACAGGGAGTCAAGACACCTTCAGGCTCACCCTGGCTCAGTTGAGGCCTCCTTTCCTGACCACACCCAGGTCCCTGCCCTGCTCTGGTCTCAGTGTCTGTACTGCAGGGAGGAAAGGGTTGACTCAGGTCAGTGTTTTCCAGCATATAGAGTGTGGGCCTACAGGAGGGTTTTCAGAAGCCAGATCATTAATTAACATTAACTCACTCGGGGGGAAAAGACAATTCACTTTATATTTCATGTCAGTTCTTCTCATTACCCCAAGAAGAAGATCTGAGTGTGATTCATTCATCCATCCAACACATATATTGAGAATGCCTAGTGTATGGCAAGCACATTTTAAAGGGGTTGAGGCAGTGAACTGCACAGAAAAGGGTCTTCCTTTCATGGAGCTTGTATTCAGGGAGGTCGGGAGGATGGTAGCAAGTAGGTGTTAACAATAATGACAGAAGGTATAAAAGAATGAACATAGGGTGAAGTGCAAAACTCAGGCTGGCTTGAGCTCAATGTCCAATGATACAATTGGAAGTGAGGAGATGGAGAAATGGAGAGGCCAAGATAATGGATAGTGAAGTCATACCCAGTGGATGTGGAAGTTACCAAGAAAGGTACAGGATGAGGGGTGGGGAGGAAGAGAGTAAACCCTGTTGGAGTCATCAGTGATGGAGGGAGTGAGCTGGGTGCTGGTTAGGCGTGGCTATGGATCTGTAAATGACTTAAGGAGGGTTGGCTGATGATCGGATCATGAAGGTATGAGCTTCATCACACTGGTGCCCTTGGAGGAAGAAGGATTGGAATGAAAGAGGCCAAGAGACACACAAGGATCACACTGGCCACAACTTCAGGTCTTGAAGTATGCATAGTGTGAGAAGAAAAAGCAAAGCCCCACCTGAGTGGCTGCAGGGTAATCGGGGTGCCTGGGGTGGTGAACACAGAGAAGGACCACCTACATCCCCCACTAAGGGAAGACTCATTGCCTTGCTGCAGAGGGTGCTGTCAGTAGATCACCCCCAGTGGTTGGTTTCTGCAGAGCTGCAGGAGAGTTGCTTCTCTTGAAGACGCAGAAGTCATGCTCAATGTCTCCTTCTGCCCCTTTCTGCCTCCTTCCACCTCCGACACGGGAGTTGTGATTCCTGATAAATATCCTGCACACTATATTCCATTTCAGCGTCTGCCTGCAGGGAACCCAACTTAGGGCACTCAGGGATAACCAGGATTTGCTAAAGACAAGTGTTAAAGAAAACAATTATTCATGATGCTTGTTAAATATGTTAAGAAAGACTTTATTCCAGGGGCCTCCTACAATGGGATTTTGTAGTAAGCGAAAGAGATCAGGATCACCTTCAAATACAACAAGGAAAAGCAGAAATTCATAGTCAAGAGGGGTAGGGTAAGGTGGGTGTTGATGGATGAAAATTACTATAATGAAACTTCAAGGGTAAACAGGAGATTCTGGCCAAATCTGCCTAACTGGCTTCCTGCTGATGGCAGGTCAGACATCACCTGGACGATGATGGAGGATGAAAAACCTGATCAGATATAGAGAGTGATCAGATATTGAGGGGAGGGGGTTCTGGCTAAACTGACTCAGCAGGATTCTTGCTAAAACTGAGCTCTTGAGGGATATGCTTAAGGGTGGGATCTAGTTGGAAGCCTGACTGAAGTTTGGTCAAGAAGAGAACGTTTGTCACAAGGAGAGAATCGTAGTCATAAGAAAAATCTTTGTCACTTTGAAGGAGATGTTCAAGGAAGAAATGGAAGACATGGGGGTGTTTGCTGAAGACAAACTTTATTTCCATGGAGCGCAGTGGTTTTGGGAGGGTGGGGCACAGCAGGTAATTAGCTCCAAGTAGAGGATGAGGATCCAGGGGACGATGCCCTTGGGAGCTCAAGCTTCGGTGACAACAGAACATCTGTCAGGGTGCCCCAGAAATTTATCTTTAAATCCTCAATCAATACTGTCCTTGTCCATCAAACTTCTTGCCTTCCCACAAAGTTACTGATGACTACAAGTCAAAAACAATCTTTATTATTATTATTTTTTGTATGTCCTACTGGGGCAATTTGACCTCTGCTGTCTTGTCTTTGGCTTTTAGGGTTTTAGTGATACAAAGAACTCTTTTTTTATTGTTTTGTTTTGTTTTTGAGATGGAGTTTCACTCTTGTCACCTAGGCTGGAGTGCAATGGTGAGGTCTCGGCTTACTGCAACCTCCGCCTCCCAGGTTCAAGCGATTCTCCTGCCTCAGCCTCCCGACTAGCTGGGATTACAGGTGTCTGCCACTGCGCCCGGCTAATTTTTGTATTTTTAGTAGAGATGGGGTTTCACCATGTTGGCCAGGCTAGTCTCGAACTCCTGGCCTCAGGTGACCCGCCTGCCTCGGCCTCCCAAAGTGCTGGGATTACAGGCGTGAGCCACTGCGCCCGGCCGAGAACTCTTATTTAATATTCAGTTTATCTCACTTAATTTTCATGACAGCCTTATGAAGTAGACATTATTGCCATTATACTGATAAGGAAACTGAGGCTTATTGAGAAAGAATAAGTTGCTAATAGTCATGTAATTGGTGCATTTGGAATTCCAACTCAGTTTTAACTCCAGGATCAAGGTATTATCCTATGTCTGCTCATCACAGTGGTACAGTTTTTGGTTGCTAGGTCAATATTTATCCTCATAAGAACTCTTGTTCTGATTTTGGAGTGGACACCGTCATAAAATCCAACATTAGTAACTCACAGGCTTGTCCCATGCCTCTTCCAGAGATCCCTGATCTGGCTCTGAGATCTTCCTTCCCTTGATGAGACCTTCTCTGTAATGAAGCGTATGCTTAGGAAGGGAGAGTAAGTTTCTGTCTGTTTTCCATTCTATTTCTTACTGAAAAATGCTGGGATGAAATTTCTTTGTTGCCAGGTTCTAGAATGAGGTGGTGTTAGCTTGATTTAAAGTGCATGCCATCTGTTTTGTGTCTAAACGTCAAAACCATAGCCTCTGACATTGAAATTCAAGAAAAAATATTGTGAAACCCCATCTCTACTAAAAGATACAAAAAATTAGCCAGGCATGGTGGTGGGCACCTGTAGTCCCAGCTACTCAGGAGGCTGAGGCGGGAGAATGGTGTGAACCCGGGAGGCGGAGCTTGCAGTGAGCCGGGATCGCGCCACTGCACTCCAGCCTGGGCGACAGAGCGAGACTCCGTCTCAAAAAAAAAAAAAAAAAAAAGAGAAGATAAAATATTTACCTGATCCTTTGACCCGTAAAAGTACACTGGTTTCAGATTATAGTTTTGAGGCTGTTGGTGTTTTCTTATAAATTAATATAAAATATTTAAGCTTGCAGCCATCATTTGGGATCCTCTGCTTAAAAGGACGTCGTTGTTTGGTTCTTTAATTTTTTTGGATACAATATACTTGTACGTATTTATGGGGCACATGTGAAATTTTACTACATGCATAGAATGTGTGATGATCAAGTTACGGTATGTAGGACATCCATAAAGTGAGTGTTTATAATTTCTATGTGTTGGCTACATTTCCTCTCTTCTGGTAATTTTGAAAAATACAACATATTGTTCTTAACCATAGTCACCCTACTCTGCTATCAAACATATTCCTTTTATCCAACTGTATGTTTGCAAGCATCAACCAATCTCTGTTCATCCCCCCTCCACCCATACCCCCTTCCCAGGTAGCTCTTTCACGTATACCCAGAGCAACTTACCTTTTTGACTTGAGTATAATCAATTTTTTCTGCGACAGGAAGGCAGTCTTAAATGCCTAAATTACCCCACATCCTTACCGTCAGTATCTATTTTTAGTAAGAGTTAGTTGTTGGGGGAAAATATGCTGTTTGAGACTCGATCTGACCTGGAAAATGAGGAGGACGGCTTAGGCTGCTTTCACACCATTTCTCAACAATATTCTTGACACCTGTCGAGTGGAATAGGACTGCCCTGAGAAAGGGTTATCTTGGTGGAAGATGCCGTGCAGGGAAGCTCATCTGATTTAGAACTTCTTTGGCCATCCAGGAGAGAGTTCAAAGAGAGAAAGAGGGCAGATTGGGAAAGGGGGTTGGAGAGCTAAGATGCAGACTGGGAGCCCAGGAAACCCATCCCGCAGGAGGGATCCAAGCCCCGGCAGAGGGGAGTTCACACTTACCAGGAGCAGATGAAAGCCGTGTTTGATTCTGGATCCCGGCTCTGCTGCTGGCCCTGGTGGCATTATTCATTTAGTGCCGTTCCATACTTCGCAGGAAAAGCACAGCAGGCTTATAATGCTTGAGTTTTTAAACATTCAGAAGGCTGTGATGCTATAAATAAACTTCCTGTGTCAGAGATTAAATCAACCAAGATGCCTGCCATGCCAACTTTATTTCTGAAACAACGTGTTTTCAACAGAAATCAAAATACATGTTAATCCTTCCCTTCTGACAGGCTAATACGAGCCTTGCAAATCACAGTGGAGAGCTACCGAGAGGACGTTAAGTAGCAGAAGCCGTGTCTGCACAGCTTATCTGTTGGAGAAGTCTGCGGCCATCCCTTGATTTGGAAGTCTTCTGCCTGGACTTGTGACTTGGGTGTGCAGAATCAGGATCAGGCTGGACTGTTTTTATCAGAAAAGACCTGGCTATGGTGTTTTGGCTAAAACAACACAGAGGCTGTGTCTTGGAGATGACTAATAACAAGTTAGCAGACAGCCATCCAGTTCAACACCTATTCTCCTTTCTTTGGGTAACAGCATCCTGAATTACTCTGAGTAACCATCATCCTTCAACTGCTCTTAATCTATGAGGTTCTGTGTGGGGCACTGCATCCCCAGCCCCTAAGGCTGGGCTCTGGGCTAACCAATCAGAGCCATCCACCTCCTTCCTTGGCCATGGAAATTGGTTCCAAGGTGAGCCAATGTCCAAGGCTGGATGATGGTGTGAATCTTGAACCTTGGTTGCAATTCCTGAGAAAGGGAAGCTCCTCTTTTGCTGGAGTGGCTAGCTTGGCACTGCTGAAATTCATCATTGTGACCTGATCACCTGAGATTGATGCCCATTCAGAGTAAAGCAGAGATGAGAGACAGAGACACATTCCTGATGACATTGTTGGAGCACCTGGGTAAAGCCCTGCTTGAAATTAGAAGCCTTCCTGGACTTGTTTACATGATTAGATTCTATTCTTTTGCGTTGAGAATGAGCTGTATTTCTATCACCTGAAATTGAAATAGTCCTGATTAATTCAGTGGTCCAGCTGGTGAATTCAGCCAACTGGTAAATTCTGTGACAAAAGGTGTTTATGGATTTATCAACCTGTTGTTAGATTAGATTTATTCTAACTTAGTGAGATCGATGGTAGGGCAGCCCAGGGCCGACTCAACTCTAGTAAAGAGTGTGGTCATAGGATCCCCAGCAGAGACAAAGAGTGGCCCTGAAAACCTGGGTATGGGGGCTGGTGAGTTTCAGCTGGAGGCTGTGCTGCTAGAGAGAAGTGGCCTCCCTTCAGGGACCCTTGGCCTTCTGAGTACCTTTAAGGATGTGAGGAGGCTGTACTCTTTTCCTTAGAGAGATTTATACATGCCCTTTCCCAGCATGCTTTCCATGTAATTTTAGGTGGTTTTTCCATGTAATTTTAGGCTCTGAATTGCAGAAAACCAGCCATGGGCCCCTTGGGGATTCCAGGTTATACAGTAGGCAGCTGGACAGGTGACTTGCCTTTTACGTCTTACAAGGTCTCTCATGGATGCTACAAATGTGCTGGCTAAGATTTTTGAGTACTCACCAGGTCTCAGCCACTACACTTAACATGTAGTATTTACCTATATTTTTACGATGACCCTACTGGGTAGATGTTTTCATTATCCTAACTTTACAAAAAATAATTTGAAAAAAGTTAGGTATCTTGCTCAAGGTCACCCATCTTATAAGTGAGTAAAATTTAAATCTAAGTCTAGAAGACACAAGAGACCACATTCTAAATCACTTTAACAACTTTAGAAATTACTAATGGATCACACTGACTACCAGTCCATAATAATTTGGATCCTTACATCTAACTTAAATCCATCATGATGTAGTGTAAACTCATTGCTTCTTGTAAGTCACATGGGATTACATTGTTCCAATCTCAAAACAGGCATGTGATTTACAGTAAATTGGTATCTGAGACTCAGGTTCTTTATATGGGAAGCGTGGTTAGCAAATTATTATTTTATTTTTTCATTTTCTTTACTTTGTCAAATTTTTGAAAATTACAAAAGGAAAACATGCTTATAAAAACTTGACACAAATAGAGAGCAGTGAGTAGGAACAGCATGAAAATTCCCCTCAGTGCTCCTGCTATGGGCATCTCACTTCCAGGAGGTAATTAGTTTTAAACTTGGGTGTATAATCTCTCAAACTGTTTCCATGGATTTACAGTCTTCTTACAACACGTGTAAAGAGTTTCTTTTACTTTTTCCAGTTTTATTGAGGTATTATTGACAAGTAATTGTATATACTGAAGATGTGCAACTTGATGTTTTGATACACATATGCATTGTAAAATAATCACCATAATAAAGTTAATTAACATATCCAGCACCTCACATAATTATCACTTCCTTCCTTCCTTCCTTCCCTCCCTCCCTTTCCTCCCTACCTTCCCTCCCTTCTTTCCTCCCTCCCTCCCTTTCTTCCTCCCTTCTTTCTTTCCTTCCTTCCTTTCTTCCTTGCTTCCTTCTTTCCTTCCTCTTTCTCTTCTCTTCAATTTTTCCTCCTTCCTTCCTTCCTTCCTTCCTTCCTTCCTTCCTTCCTTCCTTCCTTCCTTCCCCTTCCTTCCTTGCTGTACTTAGCCCCTCACTTCCTTCACTTCCTTCCTTCACCTTCCTTCCTTCCTTCCTTTCTTTCTTTCTTTCTTTCTTTCTTTCTTTCTTTCTTTTCTTTCTTTCTTTCTTTTTCTTTCTTTCTTTCTTTCTTTCTTTCTTTCTTTCTTTCTCTTTCTTTCTTCTTCTTTTCCTTTTCTTTCTTTCTTTCTTTCTTTCTTATGAGAACACTTAAGATCTACTCTCACTACAGTATTGCTAACTATAGTCACATTGCTTATACGGTTTATTTTAAAACAAAAATAGAATCATATTTTGGCATCTTTCCATGTCAGGGTACATATAGTCCTAATGTGCACATTTGATAACTACATTTAATCCACAAATATGGCGTATGTGCCAGGTATTGTCATTCTCTGACTGATGGACATTTCTTTCTTTCTTTCTTTCTTTCTTTCTTTCTTTCTTTCTTTCTCTTTCTTTCTTCTTCTTTTCCTTTTCTTTCTTTCTTTCTTTCTTATGAGAACACTTAAGATCTACTCTCACTACAGTATTGCTAACTATAGTCACATTGCTTATACGGTTTATTTTAAAACAAAAATAGAATCATATTTTGGCATCTTTCCATGTCGGGGTACATATAGATCTACTATTGCACATTTGATAACTACATTTAATCCACAAATATGAGCGTATGTACTTAGTATTGTCATTCTCTGACTGATGGACATTTCAGTTGCCTCCATTTCTTTTTAAAAAACTATTATTTTAAATTCTGCTGCAGTGAATACACTTGTGTATATTTCTTTGCCATAAGGCCAAATATTTCTATAAAACAAATCTCTAGAAGTAGAATTGCAGGGGCTAACACACTTCTCTATTTTAAAGTAAATGCATGAGAGACCATTTTTAGCACCATTAAAGGGATTCCAGTGAAATATCCTAGAGCTTGTTAGGTTTGGCTGTTTTTCCTGTGCTTAGGATCATTTGGGCACGGGGACAATGTGCCTTCTTGGTTGCGCTGGTTGTCACACTCCCACTGGAGCCTCCGTCATATTCAAGAGCTCATCTGAGTCCCGTCTTCCCTTGAGTAGTCCAGGGCTTATGTTTATTGTGGTAGATTTGGAGCCAGCTTCCCAAGCTGTGCACATCTCCTCTCTGAACACATGCTGCCTACCTGCAGACATCAGCTGGGGCTTGGGAGCCACAGTCCAACCAGCAGCGACTGGTTGTACCCTCGGTGATGCCGACGGCCAAAGCCTGAAACCACTGTCTGTTAAGAGTACGTGGGATCTAGAAGAATCACTGCCTGGAATGGAGAGGCTGAAGGCTTACAGCCTTTGACAAAACCTCATTAATTGGTTCATTCCTTTAACGACTATTTTTTGAGCCTCTACTATGAGCCAAGCACTGTGACCAGAGTTAGAGATACCACTATCAAAACAAATGCAGCGACCTTCTCTCATGGTGACTCTAAAACATGACAGTTAGGTATATTCTCTTCTCCTGTACAAGTCTGGTTTTATGTTTTGGAAACACTTTAAATGAAAAGTAGGTTTGAAAAGGTATTTTAGAAGCCAGAATGAATCAACCCAAGCTGGATGATGACAAAACTTCTTTAAAAACTGCAGCAGAGAGTTGGCAGGACACTGGAATAAAACAAAAATAAATCAAATGCTGTTTATCATTTTGCCTCCATCTCTCTCTCCTCCCTCCTGTAGCGTTGTTTCCTCCATCCCAGCTGAGTGAACCATGTGACCTCTTTACCCCCAGCACAGCTGATTGGACCAGGACTGAAGATCTAACTCAGGCTCAGTCAATCAGATCCTCTCTTGGGGAGGTGATTTTGTAACGTCATGACTCAGCTCAGGTTTTTTAGGGCAACTTAATTGGAAAGCATTACAAAGGTGGAACCCATGGTGAGATGGAGCGAAGAGGACCACACTGCAGAGAAAGTGAGAATGAAGCTGGTAGAAGGAAAGAAGCAGGGTAGCGAAACATGAAGCTTCTGAAAGAAACAGAGCTGTACCCAGTAGCTCCCTTTATGTTAGAATTCTCTCCTGAGATCCAGAGCACTTCTTCTTCTTGGGTTCCCTGAGCCTTCCAACCATTCCAACAAATCCCCATTTTTTCTTGAGCCAACCTGATGGCTCCTCTTTCTGCTAACCACCCTCACCCTCTGGGATAAGACAATATTTGCTTCCTTCTTTGTACTATTGAGAAAAAGAGCAATAGAGAAGCTTCTTTTCATCCTGTTCCTAAAGGCTGAACATGATATGTTCTTGGGAGATATATTCTCTCTGACTCTATCTGCCATTTTTCGAATGGCCTGATTGTTTTGGAAACGTGCTGAACTCTGTCCTCAGGGACTCCCTAACGAAGGCTCAGCTTGGAGGATTCATGAATCCATTTGTTCATCAATTAGGGAGCCCTGGAAGCAGACACTCTGGGCGAGAGGCTCCTCACTGCTCCCTGCTGGGTGGAGATGGGAGACCGGGCATATCCCCTAGAGAAGCTTCCCCAGAAGTGTGGCTCACTGTGGAGGCCAATGAAGCCTCTGCTATTTTCCCCTGGAGAAACTGACAATGTGGACATGCCTATGTAATCAGAGTTATAATGTAAATCCAAGCCTGGAGACTCAAAGCCAGCGAGGAAATAAACACATTCCCAAAGAGTTTCTGATCACTGGGTGGTGATGGGGAGCAGGGAACACAGGACTGTCCAGAAAAATACTTCCCTGACTAGGGAACCCTGGGGAGATGAAAACAAATTCCTATTCTTGCTTTAATTATGCACAAATGTACGCATACACAAACACACATGTAAGAAATTTTATTGCTGGATCACTGTGGCATTAAACATATACACACTTATCATAGGAAAACTGGATGAACCTGTATTAAAAAGAGTGGCTTGTGTGGCTAGGTGAGTTAACAGTTTGGTTCAGTACCTACGTGAGAATCTCTGCCAAGATGAATCTCTCCTTTTCCCAGAAGCTTTGAAAGAAACAAAAACTTAATAATCTTGATAGATGAATTTGTCTCGAAAGACCTGTTAAAGGACAGGGAAGCATCTTCTCTTGTCTCCCCAACCCCGACTGCCTTGTTCTTCAGGACCTGATCATTGCTACCCATGCCAGTTGACAATACAAACCTCTCTCTCTCTACTCCCCTTGAGGATTCAGCCTGGATGCCTTTGCCCCCTGAATTCCCATTGCCTCTAGGTCTCCTTTGTGGTTTTTCTCACTCAA